AGGACAGGGATGTGTCGTTCAATACGAACCAATAGTCGGACTTTTTGTATGAAATCCAATCACTTTTGGACACATTTTGTTGCAACGCTTTGGCAGTCATTATGGACTGCGTGTCCGGTAAGGGATCCGATTTGGTGTCACTTTAATAGCCAATAAATAAGTTAAATTAATAATCTTGGTTAAAAATGTGTAGAAATATATCTGAAATACCCGATCATTTTAATGAAGTCCTCGTGTATGGTATTTATGTAACACTTTTCCAATTCAATCAAATGTTGCACAAAATTTTTGCATTTCTTATTGGACTCGCGAACAAAATCGAGCGCAAACTTTGAGAAAATGTCCCTGCACATAATACAAATCACAATATTTATAATAAAACTAAACAGTACAATAGTGCCCGACTAATGGACAGGTATGATAATTACTTCAATTTGGGGAACCGGCATAAATTTTGCACGCATTCAGTCACTATAATCACGATCTCATCGGTGACCCAATCGACACATTCAAGCGATAAATTCCTAAACAATTCTGTCCACAAAAAAGACAAAATAAAAATCAACTCAAAAAACTAACCCCCAAAAGCACCCACCTATTTGGTTCATGACCACCGATATGAAAGCGGTATCGGGTATAAACACCCCGATCCTCGTACCGAAAGCATTTTGGATGGCTACCCCGATCTCCCTCCTAATCCTCGTCTCGTCGTAAAACATTTTATTTACGGCTTTGGCGTACGTCTCGTTCATCAACGTATTAATACGAGTGCCGCCATTCAGAGCGTCGGTATCCACTACCCATACCTTTCCTCCCACTCCACTGTCAAAGCCGGACCTCATTTTATCGTAGGCCTCGGCCAACACCTGATCCTTATCTCTGTCTCCTAAGGGGAACTCAATCTTCGCTAACCGTTCCCTCACTTCATCCAACTTTGTCTCTAACTTGGGCTTCAGTGGCGGCAATCGTTTGAATATATGGAGCGACAGTTCCCGCTGGAGGTACTCCTGGAGGTATCGGATGCCCATCTTGTCGGCCATGTCTGGCCCATAGGACGGGTGTTCAACGAAGTACTTGCGCTCGTCGTATAGGGCGCGCCGTATGTCCTTATGCTCGTCGATGTCCTTCTGGGACCGGTTGATGACACCAATGAAGTCCCGCTTGAGTTGAATGCGGTGTCGACCCATTAGGATGTCCTTGGCGTCCGTCCCGGCGTCCATCAGATCTAATTTGGTTAACACACCGATCGTACGCTCGCCCGTCGGGTCCACCTGTTTGGCCATCTTTAGGGCGTCCGATGTGGCCAAGTCTGGGCACAGGGATTAGCATGGTCAATTTATAATTAACTATCATATAGTTTGATGGTCAACTTTTTAGACTTATAATTTTAATTTTCTATTATCATTATGTACTAACTTTCAAGCTATGTTAAATTAATTACTAATTGTATGATTTAGTATAAATGTTAAACACAAAAATAATTACTTGTTGTGAATTATGTTATTGTTGCAAATATTATGTGAAATTTATATGAAAACTTATCACTTGGATTAAAAATATACTGCTTTGTAAAGATTATAATTATTTTAATTTTGCTAAACGTTATAAAAAAAAATTTTAATCAAATAAAAAATTTATGTACTGTATAAGTATCTATTACTGTAAATAAATGTAGAAATTGTATTATAGAAAATTAATCATTAAAGTAAAAAATAAAATTAAAACTAAATTTAGTCAAGATTAAAGGGCGATTACCTTGGTTGGCTGCCGTAACCGCCAAAATGAGACAATTATCGCGACTGATGTACTCGAGTATCATGTGTTCAATGCGTTGCTCGATGTCCTCGGGCTGATCATCGACGGCCACACGTGTCATACCCGGTAAGTCAACTAATGTCAGGTCCAACACATCGCGAGAATAGATCTTCAAATTGATTGGATTCCGGGAAATGCCTTTACTTCGGGACACTTCCCGATCCGTTTCCGCTGTGATCTCGTCCCGGATGTCATTGAAATCGTAAAACCGTTTTCCCGCCGAATGCAGGAATTCTCCGTAAACTTATCAATACAAACAGAATATTCTGTCATTTTATGTGAATTTTTGTGTATAACTTATAAAACTATTTGAGTTTTTAAAAATGTTTTCACTATAGCCTTAATACACAATGAATTAAAAAGATTTATACATAATTGTATAAATATCATATGCTAGTTAATTTTTATGTATAACAGTACCATTACATATACAATTTATAAACAAGATAAAAATATCTAAAATACTCATTTAATTTATACAACTAACAAAACTTGTAAACACTTACAGACATCGGAGTTTGGGTCTTGGATTAACTGCAGTATAAGTGGGCGTCGAGTGACAATACCGGAGCCACGGGGTAGGAAGTCATGACCAACTATGCTCTCCAAAACACTAGACTTGCCGGACGACTGGCCCCCGACTACAGCTATTTGTGGCAAATCAAAACTATTGCTAAAACCCAGTGGATTGAGTCGGTCTTGAAGTTCATTCACGACTTTGATTAAATCGCCGCCAAATTGAGACATTTTTCGTTATAATTTTGTTTTATTATTATAGTTATTTGAATGAGTAGAAAAAGCTGATTTATTAATTTTTAAAATCTTTTACAGTATTTATATATTATTTGCTATCAAATTTGTTTGAAATCCGAGTCAAATGACTAATAGCTTACTAATTGATAAATGAATTAAAATAAACATTTTTAATCACTATTTCAATTAATGATTTATGAATATGCAAATTTGTTTAATTATCGTAAGTTTTCTATGAATTTAATTGTTTGTTTTTGTGAGAGTTTTTAACCGGAATCGTGATTAGTTGCCTTGTTTATAAATACAAATTAGATTATGTGTTATCATATCATAGTAATTTATATTTAGTAAACATTATCAGCAGTTTTAAAGTGATTTGCGTAAATGTTGTGTAATATTCATATATTGATAGTTTGACATGATAACTTATTAATGAAAAATTATTTTAAAGTATAAATAAGTTATTTATTATTGCATAGATGCCAGTAATTATTTCCTGTTAATTAATTTCATTAAAATTAGTCAAATTAGATGATTGGTTTATAGCAAAAACTCTATACTGTATTTTATTTTATTTATTTAAATTTTTATGACCACCTAGAACACAGTAATACTAATAAATAAATAATTTATTAAAAGTAAATTAGTTAAACATTATTATTACAAACTTTAAATAAAATAAAATTAAATAAACAATATATGGGTATAATATTTAAGTAAATATGAACTGTTTTATTGCATAAAATAAGTAATTAATTAAATCAGTTTATTTAATATACCAATTGTTTGTCTAGCAAATTTAAATTAATTAACTTTTATTCATTTAGTTTTATTAAACAATTCGTTTAATTTATGATATTTTTATTCTAGCAGCATTTTAAAAGTTTTCACTGTATTTTGTGTAATTAGTTTTAGATAATAACATTTTGTTTCACCTACAATACTACTAATACGACAAAATTTAATTTTCTCACTAATTATGTTACATTAACTTAAATAATGAGTCGAAAAATAACATAATGTGAAAATTGTATTAAATAAACATTACTTTTATAGTTATAGTCGCTACCACTGTATGCAT